GTAATAAGATGCTCATATAATGTAACTGTCACGAAACAACATGTATAGTTAATCCCAAGCATATGTCAACATGATGGGAAATGCTCAGAGAGCTGTGTTGTGAAGCGACATGTAGGAATATCAATAAATATTTAATTTTATACACCAATCGATGCCATGCATTTTCTTCGGAGATGTTACCCCATAATATCAATAAGGGTGCGTTTAAAGCCTAGGCTGTATATTCCACATGAATTATTACAATTCTATTGTTGAATACTTTAATTCGAATTTAAAATTATCTCAAATGATGAAAATTTTAGCATTTTATGGCTTATATGAACTATCTCCCCAGTATTACATTTTTGATGTCATTCGTCTGTCTGTGGAAAAATTTCTTAAGATGTTTAAAAAAAATCATTTACCACAAGCTGCCTTATTATCCGTCGTCAGTGCCGTGATGCTCGCTAATTGAAACGCTCATACTTACGCGCTAATAGTAGCTTGAATTACGCACTCCGGCTGGCTGAGTGGCGTTTTACGCGCTTGTGCTAACTCGTTTTGGGACAGCCGGGCTAGACACTTTGGTGGTCCGTCGTTAGTACGCAGCGGTTTGTTAGAGTGTATAAGTACCGTGGAAATGCGCCTGAACAGCCTCTATATATTTCCACCGCCAGGCTTACAACAAATATACTCACAAACTTATAGAAAATTATTTTGAATGTCCAAGTCACGTAATTGGTAACTTTCGGTTCCATCAACAAGCTATGAAGTACTTTATTTTGACCCTCTCGTTATATTTAATACAGATTTTTGTCGAGAGATGCTATGCACAACGCTATACCGAGCGATTGCTGCGAAGAATGACAATTGTGTAAGATAAAATACTCAAAATAAATAAAAGTAGGAATTCACTGTAAACAATTATTACTTTCTGTCGTTTGCAAGCAATTACCTTGCTCTGTACATCGTTGGTACATTAATTCAACAATAGAAAAGTACGAAAATCATAGACGATATAAGAATTTAACTCAGACATGCAAGTTTGTACCGTGATAAATGTGTTCATGTTGTCAAGGAATTTTATGTCCCCAATTTATTTAAAAATAATATTTAGACCAACGCTGCAAGATTCGAAAATTTGAAAAAATATCGGTTGATATAGTATTTGTTATGTCCGAATATGCGAGGCTCTAAAAATTCTTAACAAAAGTCTTTAGGTCGCCACAACAAGCAACAATGTCTCACTCAGCTCCTACGCAACTTCGACTTCCGGTCTCTGCAGATGATCATCACACCATACAAAACAGTGTGAACTGTGATACGTTTTGAAAGGAGGTACAGGGAAGGTCAACCGTCACCAATGGAGTGCCTCCCACTACCAAGCACGGCCCTCGGCCTTGGTAGAGGGGACCCAGCCACGGGAATCCATAGTCGCTGGGCAGGACCATGGCTTGGTTGCTTGAAGCGTAGGTGCCGTCAGCCTGGCGTTTCAGGTCCACGTAGAACCATGGGAGTTTCCTGATCGCCAAAATGGCACGGTCCTGGAACCATCAAGACCATTAAAGATTATGTCTTTTCATAGCTGGGAAGCGCTACTTTGAAATGTAGCGGCTGCTACCGCTACCGTTACATGCTCTAAATGTAGCGGGCGCTACCGCTACCGCTACATTGTTTTAAATGTAGCGCCGCTACCGCTACATGTAGCGCGCTACTGCCCACCTCTGTGTGTTTGGGATACCTTGAGCGAGAGACTAAGGAACAGGGCGATCTAGTGAGCTCGGTTATTCTCAAGAAAATTCTGTGAAAAACAAAAATTGCAAAGCAGCGAATGTGAGGTCTTAGCAATGATCTTATTATACACGAAATGGAAGTAAAAACAATAACAAAAAATTAATATCAATCATTAAACTAGCAGCAAAAGCTATTCGAATATTGTTCCCAATTCGTGCCAATCATCGAGTGAACCTGAAAGCAGAAGGATTTCGTTGTCAGACGCTTTGCAGTGATTGAAGGTGGTAAGTTCTGATCGCTTGAAGGTTTCTGTTAATTTAACACATCTACAGGGGCACTGGACATTGGAATTGGTTGTTGCTGAGAGTCTTCTACAGAAACGAATATTTCCACGCTAGTTTACCGTTAATAAGTCTCCACTAAGTTGCTCTTCTTATTTATGAAATCCACCTTTCGCGTTTCTATCCTTTAATATCGACCTCGCAAACCAACCGGACAAGTGCAATCTCTTTTTAATGGAAGTGAAAATCAAACTGCAGATGGTAGCGTAGTAAAACGATGAATAATTGAAAAAGGTCTTGCTCATGCTTGATAATAACTCCGCTAAACAACTTAAATGGCATTAATTCCAGCCAATGTTCACTGCATGAAATTCGTGTTTCACAATTTTTCATTTCCAAAATAAATATTGATTACATTTCTTGAGTTAATATGAATAAATAATAGAACCATTATTCGTACCGATTACTTTGTCAGAATTTTTTTAATCCTTCATAATAACAGTAAGAAAATGCACGCGATTTTGTGTGGCTGAAGAATCCATTGTCGTATCCTTGTTATTGTCGTAGGATTTTGTGACGCTTTGGAGAAGAAGGTTGCCAGGCGCGCGATTGGCCGAGGAAATGTTTGACATCAGATGGATATATAGCTGTCTCTTATACACATCTAGATGTGTATAAGAGACAGANGTTGTTAACGTGGGTATGTTCGGTGTCAGTGTCATTCTGTGCAAATATGTCCTGCATGACAGTGTTTGCAGGAGCCGATTTTTTTCCGTTCTGGTGTGTTGTGCTGTTTATGTTTCTGCACAAGTTGTCTATTATAGTGCTAGTGATGTACTACCGTGAGTTTTAATTTATTGAAGAGTAGCTTGATATCTGTCTCTTATACACATCTAGATGTGTATAAGAGACAGGTGTACAGTCCTCTGTCCGACTTCCTCACAGCACGTGGAACGATTTGTACCACATCTCACATTACCTACATGACTCTGTCAGACCTCCTCACAGCACGTGGAACGATTTGTACCACATCTCACAATACCTACATGACCCTGTCAGACCTCCTCACAGCACGTGGAACGACTTGTACCACATCTCACAATACCTACATGACTCTTTCAGACCTCTTCACAGCACGTGGAACGACTTGTACCAATCTCACAATACCTACATGACCCTGTCAGACCTCCTCACAGCACGTGGAACGATTTGTACCACATCTCACAATACCTACATGACCCTGTCAGACCTCCTCACGACACGTAGAACGATCTTAACCTACATCTCACAATACCTACAGGCCTCTATCAGACCTCCTCACGACAGGTAGAACGATCTTAACCTACATCTCACAATACCTACATGACTCTGCCTGACCTACGAACTACACGTTGAACGATCTGGGCCTACATCTATGCACAATACTTTTAAAGGCCTCTGACAGGCTTGTAGAACAATTTGCAACTACATACCGCGTAGCCCGGCTTTGATCATTTCTAAAATTCTGGAATCCTGTTATTCCAAATCTTGTAATTCCCGCAATCAGTAATCCAGTTAATAATAATGCAACTCATGTATTCTAATTGAATGACATCTCTACAAACTCACACTTTACATGGAAAATATGACTGCCATTTTACTACTTATTCAAATTATGGAACACGAATTTTTTAGCGAATTTTCTCATTTATAGAAAAAAAAGCGCTATTAATTGTGCTCGTCATGTCCGTCCTTTCGTGACTTCACGGAGCAAAGAAAATGCAATCTCTGAACCTCACTGCCGAGAGTACTGATCTAATTTTATTTACTTTATTTCAGCATACTACCATTTATGCACAATAACTTAATAACTTGATTAAATTAGGGCTGGTATTGGGAATATTGCTAATCGGATAAATATATTAGGTTGTTGTTTGTTTTATCAGGTTCATAACAGTCCAAATTATAGCAGTACTCCAACAATTTAAGTAAATACCCTGTTGGTCAGCGGGTACGAGACGAGTTTCATGTTGAGGCTCTGGCACTTCTGGGTCGCTTCCCTGAAACAACACAAAATGATATCTCAGCGCGTGGAAATCGCACTGCCTGCATTGAAAAATTTAACATGTGCCGAACTTGTTAATTAAAATAAAATCATTATCACTTATAACATGAATTAGTATAAAATGCAATTCTTATAAAATTATTGCAAGTCATAACTCATTACAAACTATTCTAAGGAGCTATCAATTGTTCTAATTAATTTACACGAAGTATTTTAGTCTTTTACCGCGTGTGAACTCCCACTTCTGAGATTGGTGTTATTTCGATTTAATTTATTAGTTCATATGTTAAATATTACAAGTCATCGCCGTATACACAGCATATTATTTTCGTTTTCTCACGAATGTCCATGAGAAACATGCCCGAGCATAAAAACTACAAAATTGCGATTCAGACAAAATAAATAAAAACATGAGAATCTCAGTGGCATGTCGCGTTGAGCCACGTACAAAGCTTTAACATTTACAACCAAAGATCATTGCGATATATATACTTCGAAATTTATAATTTTTTGCTGTAGTTGTGGTGCCACTTTTAACGTGTGGGGAAACCAACATATAGTACAGAGTGGCCAGAAAGAGGAAGAAGAAACAACAGTAGATGAAAATAGGCGAAGAGAGCACATAACTGAATTGATTGCGTAGATGCGTGGAGTTTAGTCGGGGTGAGGGTGGGGGTGAGCGAACTCATGGTTGAACTATACTACTACTACTACTACTAGTTCAATCATGAGCGAACTTGTCACGGCTTCAGATGGTTTACACGTGGGAAGTGTAGGGCGAATTGTTGTTAAATATTTGTATTACTTACATATTGAAGTTTTTGAAAGTGGAAATGTTTAACAACATCTAGCTACATCAATTTCGTTTCTTATTTTTTTCGTTTATTAATTGTTTTTCATTATTCATAAAGCAAATGGGGGGTTAAACTGGTAATGGCGGGGATTAATAAGGTGAAGGTGATAGATGAGTCGTTTGCGACGCAGGGCTTAAGTTTAGGCAGTCATTTGTTGGATTTGTGCTGGGTCACCAGTCTCAATTTATCCGTAATTCGCCCTAGGTAGAGTTCGTCAGTCCGTTGTTTATATTGGCATAGCTGCACCTGTGGTCGTATATTTGACAACTGACGACCAAATGCGTATGTTGGTAGGGTGTGCTGGGTTAGTGGTATCATTTACCAGGATGGAGATAGGGGACTGGGTACTAGTATTTTGGAGCTAACGAATGACGTCTGGAGGGCGTATGAGGCCAGTGTAGTACAGTAGTAGCGGCATCGAGAGAAGAGTAGTTCGCCAAAGGTTCGAGCCTTGGGAAGCTCAATTCATTTTTAGTGTCGCTAGCAGGTGGTGCTTGGTCGCCGTCGTTGGTTGTGCTTTTAGCATGGCCTTGAATTGGTGTCGCTTTACGAATTCTGAGTTCCTGCTTATCGGGGAAATCTTGAGGTCTGAGGTCTTTAGTCTTGAACGATTAGCTGCGGGCATATGTTTGACGGGGGACCATATTTTGCGAACTTGATGGAGGACTGTATTTCTATGGTGGGAATATTGCATTTTTTTGTGAAATATGCGTGAGCTTATGAAGTCGTACGTTTGTGTATTTCAAATGAATCGTTATGCTCTGTTTTGAACTTTTTGAGCTTATATATGGAGTTTTTTTCAATAGAGTGTAAAAGTATTGGTGGTATATCAATACTGATTAAACAAAAATGTGTGATAAAAAGTGATTGTTGAGAAAGAGATGATAAAAAAGTGTATTTCGTGTAAATTTGTCATATGAGAGCTTAAGTATATATAAGAGCTTAAGTCGGGTGGAGTAAAATGTAATCCTAAAACTAATCAAGTCATAATTAATGAGCCATTTGTTTTCGAATGCGTTAATCTGTTGTACGGCGTGTAGGGTTGGAACTCAACAGGGCTGGGGAGGAAAAGGTTTCTTAATTATTTATGTCACATCAGCAGAAAATGCGATGGAAATTGTGTTAGACAGTGGTGGTGGGAGGGCGTGGATGTAGGAGCTGCGGAACGTCGCGGAGAGGCTGGCCCCTTGAGGGACACCTACTTGGAGTTGGAGTGCGAGACCTATGTGATTGCTAATTCTGAAAGAAGCTATTCTGTCTATGAGGTAGTCGGCTGGTGATTTTGTAAAGGACGGGGGTAAGTGGAATTGAATGATATTGTATTGTAATTCCATGCGCCAATCATCAAAGGCTTTGGGCACATTGCAAAGTACTATGAAACAATGTTTCATTGTTCAAGGTGTATGGCTTTTGTTTCGTCGAATGCGGCTAATGCTGAGTGCCCTTCTGTGGTTCCTAAAATCAAGTTGTCTTGTCTTGTGTGCGTTGTGAATGACGAGGTGTTTATATAATCCTGTGTTTAGTGTTTTATCAAAGTGCTTCCCGTGGATATCTAATAGTGAAATGTAACGATAGTTTGGACTTGGTGTTGTGAGGTCTTCGTTTTGAAAGAAGGATCATGATGGCGTATTCTAATGAGTCGGTGCAATAACCAGCGCAGATGGTCTGATTGAATATCTGTAGCAGGTAGTTGATCATGTATGAGGGTAGGTGTTTTTGTTGGAGAGTTGCGATGCCTGCGGGACCTAAAGTGCTTTCTGTTCAACTCTTTCTTGTGTGTGCAGTAGTTCTTTAATGAAGTCAATAGGTGGAATTGGGTAGGATTGCCATTGTCGTGTTGGTGGATGAGATGTATGTTGTTGTTAACGTGGGTATGTTCGGTGTCAGTGTCATTCTGTGCAAATATGTCCTGCATGACAGTGTTTGCAGGAGCCGATTTTTTTCCGTTCTGGTGTGTTGTGCTGTTTATGTTTCTGCACAAGTTGTCTATTATAGTGCTAGTGATGTACTACCGTGAGTTTTAATTTATTGAAGAGTAGCTTGATATTGTGCTTATAAAGTAACGTTTTGAGAGTGTTTGAATATAAAGCGATGTGCTATGGTGGAATTGAGGTATCGATGGCGTTCTGCGCGTGTTGGTCAAGTTGTCAAGTGAAAGGAAATTTCATCTAATGTTGGGTCAGGTAGTGTAGGTACTTCATCTGTGCCATGATAGTGTTTGTTTGCATTAGGTCCAGTTTGCTCTATGGAAGAATCTTTGAGGCCGTATGGGTTTTTTGTATGGGATTTTCAGAGAAGGTTGCGATTATGGAAGTGTTGTCGGAGGGAGTGGAATGCGCTGGTTGTAGATGTATGTTATGGAATACTTTTTTGTTGATGACTCGGTCTATTAATTGTTTTAAATCTGAAGTATTCTGCCATTGAATCAGAAAACTGATATGTTGTTTATGTAATCATAACTCACTCCCAATTCAAGTAAGGCGTAGGGATTTCCAGGAGAGTAGAGTTGCCGGCGTAGTTGTTGGTCATGACCCACGCGGCCGACACTGGCGTCGACACGCTCCCGACCACCGCTGGGTCCACAACGAAGCGACAGGGAGTAGCCTGTTCAAGCAGTAGAGATCAGCTATGCACAAAGAAGAACCAGAAAGAAAGAGAAATAACTACTGATCTAGTACAAAATACCCATGTCATAATAAATTTATCTTCGGTGGTGATGGTGCGCTGCCACTAGAAAAGAGAGTGAAAAACAAGAGGTGGCACTAAATTTCTAGAAAGAGGAAAAAGAAACGGAAAGACAAAAGAAGACGAGGATAGGCGCATAGGTTTGATGATTAGGTTTATTCTGGGTGTATGGGTTCGGGTAGGGACAGGAGAAAGGGAGAGAGAACCCGTAAGGGCGTTAGAACGCTTGCTGGAGAAGTGATGGCATGATGGTCGTTCAATATTTACGGTAATTACACTATCAAGTTTTTGAAAATAAGGAGGACGGTTACACACTTTATACATGCGTTTCGTTATATTGATTTTTTTTTATTTCCCAATAAGGATAATCAGGGGGATTCACGGAAACTTCCTGATTTGAAAGCTCAATAAAGAAAGAACTAGTAAAGATCTTGCAATATAAATTTTATAGAAAAATGAATTACCTGAATTTTTGTATCACTTAGTTTTAAAGATGACATCAGACAAATGACGGCCCATACTGTCATTGCATTCAGTTAGTCGATTTTTAAAGTTCCGTCCAACAAGCTGAAGCATATTGACGGGTATGCTGGCGATGGCTTGGCGTATGTTGTTCTTCAAATGAAGTAAGATCTTTCGACAGTCATGTTAAATAATTGATAACATTGTCAAAAGTCGGCAAAATTGGCCCTTATTTCTTTGAGGAAAACGAACGCGCAGTGACGATGACTGCAGCTCGGTACACGCAAATGGATGACGCCTTTTATTGCCAAAACTGGCTGAAATGAATGTCAGGGATGTCTAGCTCAAAAATGATGAAGCCACGGCCTACACAGTGCGATGTTCAATGGATTTTCTGAGATAATATATATTTTGCAGAGCGCCTCTTCTCCTTGAGAGGTGACCTTCTTTGGCCGACCCGATCCACTGATTTGGCTCCGTGTGGTTTTTTATGGAGTTATCTTAAATCAATTATTGGCAATGACTTTCTGTTATTGCAAATGACTACCAGAATACATTGGGAGCGCAGCCGTGGGTAACAAAATTGACTCGTAAACAGGCCCTGGGCTCAACGCCAACAATCAGCATGCAACATCTACACATAGCCTCAGATCAATGAGCTGTGGGTAACTCCGGCTAACAGTAAATCCGCTTTGCACAACACAGCCACAGGCTCACAGCGCCGGAGCACAAATGGCCGGAGCGCAACAGGCCATACAGCAACAGGCGGCGCAGGTTAGGTTAGGTTACGTTACGTTAGGAGTAGCTGTTGCGGCAAGGCCTGTTGCGCTCCGGCTAGTTGTGCTCCGGCCTGTATGCGCTGAACGGCGCTGTTGTGGTGGGCGCTATGTGTCGAAAGCCGTGAAGATGCTCGGCTGCGTTACGCTCGGGAAGGTATATGAATCACACTGTGGACTTGGGCTATGCTGGCCTCTAGCTATCCACCCAATACATTAACAATGGGGGCCGTCATTTGTCTGCTGTCATCTTTCAAACTAAATTTACAAAATCTATATTGTGATGATATCTCTACTACATATTTTTTTTTATTTACTATTTTTTCAACTTTCAAATCAGGAGGTTTCCGAGAATAACCCTGTATTTGAAAAAAGTTGGCAAAATCTATGCAAAGGAGGCGCCCACTGCTTCAAAGTCAGAAATCGCCGCAGTCTGGAAGCCAGCCGCGGGTGAACTTGCTTGCCTCAACGCTCGCCCCTGCGCAACGCCAGGGGGATCAACAGCGCAATATTGCGAAGAAGCGACTGAGGCCACAGGTCGCTACGTCTGAATCACCCTTAAAGGCCGGTCCACACGCTCAGTTTTCACAACGATTTGTCTGCGCAGTTTTAAGTCGGAATGAAATCGTTGCAATTTTTAGAGCGTCCACACGGTGCCGACTTATCTGAGTAGTTTGCTCAGTTTTGCGCGATCTCGCCATGGAGACGTCTCGGACAAATTTTACGACCGGTCTCCCCAAATTCGGTGAACATGGAATATATCCCAAAGTAATGAACGCAGCTCGATAAAACTTGGGACACGTATTCATTAGGACTTAACGGTGATGTTTAGCTCGTGAACATTTTTAGAATTTCACCTTCATTCGCGAGTTATATGACGATACGTGCCGAAATTTGCAGTGAGCAAGATATTCCTACTTAACCACTGTACAGATTTGAACGAAACTTTGAATATAGAAACCTAACCTCCCAACGGCGATGTTTAACTCGTGACAATTTTTTACATTAGATAAAGCCTTATAACTCGCAAACGAAGGCAAAATCGAAAAAAATTGTCACGTGCTAATCATCACCGTTAAGTCCTAATGAATACGTGCACCAAGTTTTATCGAGCTACCTTCATTACTTTGGGAGATATTCCATGCTCATCGAATTTGGGGAGACCGGCCGCGAGTCCGGCCGTAAATTTATCCCAGACGTGCCATGGAGAAGGCAGTATTTTGATCAATTTTGGCATTGTGCCTTGTCAAAAAAGAGATTGGGTCATTTAGGGAATGCGAGGAATCAAAATATAAGAGAGATGGCTTGTAGATGTCTTTTTTCCAGGTCCAGAAGGAATCGATTTTTTTATTCATTCCCAATTGTTTACGGTAAATGCTCAATTTATTTTACTGCTGTTTCTCTGTTTGCGCTGTCATCGATTTCTTTGAATTTTTCTACTAAGCCATCGTATGTCTCCACTTTTTTTTTGTCCCTGTTACTATAGTCCTTGAATTTTACTCGCCAAATGCAAGAAAAACTTTCCTATAGAAGAGCAATAAATTCCCGAGAACATTACCGACGGTCCGCCATTGTCGCCAGACGAGTTGCAACTGGGCATAAATCGAATCGAGAAACTGTGCTACCGTCCACACGTTCCGACGAGCTCAGATTTCGATGGAACTGCGCAGTTTTCCCGCCAACGATTTGTCTGCGCAGTTTTAAGTCGGAATGAAATCGTTACAATTTTCAGCGCGTCCAGACGGTGCCGACTTATCTGCGTGTTTGCTCAGTTTTGCGCGATTTCGCCATGAAAAAGGCAGTATTTTGTCATTGTGCCTTGTAAAAAAGAAGATTAAATCATTTAGGAAATGTGAGGAATCAAAAAACCAGAGAGATGGCTGGTAGATGTCATCTTCACCAGCTCCAGATGGTATCGATTTATTAATTTTTTTCCCAATTATTCACGGTAAATACTCCTCAAATTATTAATTTTGTAAGCTGTTTCTCTGTTTGCGCTTTCATCGATTTCCTTGAAGTTTTTTACAAGCTCTCAAATGTCTCCACCTTTTTTGACCCGTTACTAAAGTATAGTCCCTGGATTTTACTCGCCAAATGCAAGGAAAACTTTCGGATAGAGCAATAAATTCCCGAGAACATTACCGAAGGTCCGCCAATGTCGCCAGAATCATTGAAACTGAGCATAAATTGAATCGGAAAACGGTGCTACCGTCTGCACGTTCCGACTTATCTGCGGTAATTACACTATACACCCGAAATCTGCGGTAATTATTACACTCGAAATCTGTGCTCTGTAGCTCAAATATCGCTGCAACTGTACAGTCTTCCCGCCGGCTTCAAAACTGCGCAGTTTTCCCGTCCACACGCAACGTTTTATCTGAAACGATTAGAACTGCGCAGACGAATCGTTGTGTAAAACTGAGCGTGTGGACCGGCCTGTTATCACTGCGGGTGCGCGAGCTGAAGTCGGCAGAAAAGGCCAATTTTGCCCGTTTGCGAGAGTGCCTGCGGTGATCGGTCGTAATCACTGTGAGAATTTCGAACTGAGAATTACTTTAAGCTATCACAGCAGATTGGACGTTATCCAAGCAGAAACGTAGCACTGGTAGAAAAAAATAGCGAACTAGAAAATAAGACTGGGCGGTCACACCCACTCATATGTCATGGGTGCACGGGCACTGGTAAAATTATCACCCTACTCCACCCCAAGTATAGGTGAGTGAACTTGGATGTTATTGAACTCTTTGCCAACTTACCCATGCGTCCTAGTGTTATCTCGCTTTTTTCCGAAATTATAGACAACTTTGATAAGATGTGATTTCATGCAAAATATCATCTGATGTTTATATTACGCCCAAATATTGGGGTATTCCGTTAGTAAATGGTATATTGTTTTGATGTCCGTTCGATCTCGTAATGTGTTGAATTTTGAGTCGCTGTAACATGTTATTGCACTCGTTTGGGTAGCAATTGATTAGTAATTATACTGCATAAATAATCTTGAAAACTGTTTCGTATTCAACGCTTTCCTGAAATTCTTGCATGAAGTTCCTAAAAGAAACTCGATGCCTGATTTTAGAAGAGTGACTAGAACGTTATATTAAATAATATAAACAGGTTAACTCTACCGACTTCATTTTGTAATCACAATGATGGGTGATTTGAAGAAACAGATTAAGCTAACAAAACATCAGAGCTGATTCCATTATGAAAATATTTATAAAAGAATATAGGATTAAGTGAAATGAAAAGTATCGCGTTGTCGATAACTTGATTGTAATATCATCTGATAACTTGATATCGTTATCGCGATGATTCCTGAGGTTTGAACTTGAATTTGCGCTCTAGTTTCCGAGTATTTTTAGTGAGTTATATTAAGATTTAAGAACACGAGCGGGGTTATTTGTACTGGCTTCAGCACACATCTTCTATAAATTGTTTTAGAAAAGTATAAAAGGAAATGGCATCTAATAGCAGCATGTCAATCATTCTTCTTGTGTGGACTAGATCCATATTTCATTCATATTATCAAATTGGGATGAAATCATTTTAATATTTTCACAACTATAATGCAGAAATAATGATCGAGTTGGAGCCCGGAACACTCGAATTGAAGGCAAAATATTTTATGGAAATGGCCAATGTCTGCGAAAGATCCTAAAAGTACCCGCATCGGGTAAT